CATCGTCGTCGTCGGCATCACCAACATCGTCATCATACTCGTCATCGTAATCCTCGTGATCAGCATCAGCAGCATCGCCATCACCAGCATTACCATCTGCATCATCACCATCATCACCACCACCACCATCGTCAGCAGCAGCAACATCATCATCGATATCAGCATCGTCATCGACATCAGCGTCATCAACATCCACATTAGCAGTAGCACCAGCTACTCATCATCACTAGCAGCATGATAATCATCATCCTCATCCTCATTATCATCCTCACCCTCCTCCTCCTCATCATCATCCTCATCATCATCAACAACGTCACAATCAGTATCATCATAATCAGCAGCAGCAGCATCGCCATCAGCATCATCATCGTCGGCATTAGCATCGGCATCGCCATCAGAATCATCAGCACCATCACCACCATCATCATCAGCAGCAGCATCATCAACATCATCATCGCCAGCATCCTCATGAGCATCCTCATCAGTATCAGCATCATCATCCTCACCAGCATCATCATCATCAGCATCATCATCATCAGCATCATCATCATAACCATCAACATCATTATAACTATCAGCAGCATCAGCCGCATACTCATCATCACCATCAACAACAACGACAACATCATCAACAGCATCAACATCGTCACCGTCATCATCATCGTCATCAACATCAACAACATCATGATCGTCAGCGTCTACACCATCATCAACATCATCATCACCAATATCATCAGCATCATCATAAACGGCATCACCATCGTAATCGTCAGCATCATCCTCATCATCAGCAGCATTATCAGCAGCAGCATCATGGTCGCCATCATGATCATCAACCTCTTGATCGTCTGCATCACCATCAGCATCACCAAACACAACCACAACCACAACAACAGCATCGTCATCAGCATCATCACCACCATCGTCATCATCAGCTACATCATCAACATCAGCATCAGCATCAGCAACATCATCCTCAGCATCAGCATCAGCATCATCATCATCAACGTCATTCTTCTCATCGTCGTCATCGTCATCATCAACATCATCGTCATCATCGTCATCGTCGTCATCATCGCCGTCGTCACCACAGCAATCGTCTGCGTCGACGCGAGCGTAGCTGTTTCAGACGCAATCGAAAAAGATCAGCGGTCACGCGGCTCAATCAACCAACGCTGATAGAGTACGCGGGCAAACGATTAGGGAAGTCGTCGAGCCGCCGCCCGAGATGTTGAAGGTACAAATGAGAACAGAGGTGGTGGGGAGCGAGGCAGGAAATTTGGCTCGATAGGGCACTGACCGCAATAGGTCGTGATGCCAGCGCCGCTGCAATTTTAGCATATCGGTTGTGACCTTAGGGCCAGTCATAAACGCAACGGTGTCATCAGCAGTAGCAGTAGCCATAGAAGCACTTGCAAAGACTCTACAACCTGAGTCAACAAGAGAAGTCACAACACGATTACCAAAATGATTGCACGCATGGGGTGGACAATGCGGCCGTCTACCGATGTCATCAATACAGTTGGTGCTGCCAACGGAGATGTCAGCCCTATCTACATCCTGCATGTGAACCTGTCAAGGATTATCGTCGTCGTTTTAAGCATCGCCCGATTGTGCTGCGACCGACCCTCGAGCCAGACAATAGATACCTGCCTGACTTGATGATCATAGAAAGGATCGACATGTTCGCTTGAATCACGTCAGGCCACTGGTTTCGCTGCCCGGGTTTTGCCGATGCTCACCCCACCCTAGAACGATCTACGACTACCGTTCCTATCACTATGAAAATGATCACTTGCGCAACGATGGCCACGCCCATTTCATCAGGCTGCACTCTGAACGTAGTCGACATTGAAAGAGTCGTCTTCCGCAACCTGCTTCAGACGCGAATAGCAGCACCTCCCCGAGACACGCAGATACGTGAGACATGCATTTATATGTAGAGGGAGAGAGAGAGAGAGAGAGAGAGAGAGAGAGAGAGCGAGACGGAGCAACAGAGAAGTGACGAAGTAAGAGGGGTAGCACGCAGGGGTGGGGGTGGGCAGCACGAAAGCTGGAGGCGGCAGGAGGGACGAGGAGAAGCAGGAAGAGGAGCGGAGAGGAGAATGGAGGAAGGAGAAAGGGAGGAGGGAGGAGTAGACGGGACGGCGGAGGTAGGAGGCAGGAGGAAGGCAGAAGAGAGAGGACACAGGAGGGAGCAGGGAGAGGAGAACGACGGGGAACGGAGGAGGCCAGAGAGAGGATAGAGGAAGGAGGGGGGACGGAGGACGGAGGAGGAAGGAGAGAGCAGGGACGGAGGAGGCCAGAGGGAGGATAGAGGAGGGAGAAGGGAGGGAGGACCGAGGAGGGCGGGAGGTGGGAGGGCGGAAGAAGGAAGCAGAAGGGAGAAGGCAGGAGGCAGGAAAGCGTGGCGGCACGGCACCTCCCCTCTGCCCTCGCCCCCCCCCGACGACCATCGGTTTGGTGCTGAGCAGCGAGGGGGCCCCTGCTGGTGGGCGAGCCGTGCCGCCCGACGGGCCCAGAGGTCAGCACGCAGGAGACGGGTCCTGACAGGGGGAGCGAGCTCTGGCCGTGGAGGGCCCCGCGAGCCCGAAGGCGGCGAAGAGCCTCCAGTGGAGCCCGTTTCCTTCGGGACCCGCTTGAGCTGCACGTCGACGGAGGGTGCCCGGGGACACGTCGCGAACTCGAGCCAGCCACGAAGCATGTCCCGAACCCTGTGCCAGCGCGAAGGGGCAGGAGGGCCACGTGGCTCCCAGACCCGGGTCGGCCAGGAAAGATCAGAGGGGATCGGCTGACCCCTGCTAGTGCTGACCCGCTGCAGTCAACGCACACACTAAGGATGCACGATGCAGCCATCGCGCTAAAGAAGGAATGCTCAACAACGAACGAAGGGTCTTCTGGCCACGGCGAGCCTCGGCCACGAGTAGCTTCCCTGGCTTAGATCTAAGGAACGGCCCGAAAACCAGAGCCCCTTCTGGGCCCAAAGTGGTCCTTTTCCCAGCTACTTGACTGTAACGATGCAAGTCGTTGGACTACAACAAGGTCTTGCCAAGAGTGTCTCTGGCCCAAGGTGTCCCCAGGATCTCCTGGGAGGTCCCTGCGGTGAGGGGAAACGATAAGGGGGAATGGCTCAGGGGGGTGGGGGGAAACGTTGACTTGGAGTCGGCGAAACATCGCCGATAAATCGGCGATAAGCCCTCGATGGCGAAACCGCGCGTTCCTCGGCGGTAAAGGGGCCCAGGCCACGATTGGCGATTGATGGGCCATTGGGGATCGATGATTCCACCCCTTGGGCAGTCCACCCCTGTCGCCGCTCCCGATACGAACTCGGGGACACCCCTCACGAGGCCCGGAGGGCCCGAGGGCGAGGGGGGGGCACCACGCGCCAAGGGTCACCCTTTCCCAGACCGCCGACGTCGTGCCTTGTTCATAACGTGGACCCCCAGAGGTCTGGACCCCTTCCTGGAGACCCGGTTTTCATCCAAAGCGTTTGTCTGACTGTCCCGAGGCCTGGTCAGGGCCCCAGGAAGCCGAGAATAGTCCAAAACATATGTCGTGTTTTTTCGCACGTTGGTTTCTGACACCGCGTGGATCGGATCGGTGCTTCCCGCCACTGGGGTTCGTTCAATCGGCCAGCGGCGGCAACTAACCAACCTGGAACGCCCGCGCAAGAGTCGCCGCTGGGTCCACACGGCGTGGACCTGTCGTGTTGGCATGTAGCTCGAAAGGCCCTCGGCCCTCTCGCGGGTGGCAAGGCCCTTTCGCCTTGACGAAGAGGATCGGAGAACGGCTCAAATAACGGTGGACGTTCACTCCCAGCCTGAATTCGTGATGTCGGCAAGCGAGAATTACCAAGATCCGGACACTCAGCATGTGTACAGTGGATGGTGTGACAAGCATGCTCATCTTCCCCTGCATGCACTCTTCATGGCAGCGGCGGTGGCGCGCCCACGGTTAGCATTGGTGACAGCTGCAACTGGAGTGAAGCAATGCAACGAAAGATATCACTTCCCAGGCCCACAAGCAGCTGGCCGCACATGCAAGCGCCATCGTTGCCGAGACCTGGGCGCGGGCATGGAAAAACAAGCGATGCCCATATAGAAGCACAACAGTCGGCCCGTATCATAAGGATGCGCGATAAGGATGCCAGGGCATTGGACGCCCATTTCGAAGCTTTTCGATCGGGGCGCGGCCAACGAAAGTGGCCAAGGATGGACCGAGGAGGCAAGGATGCAAGGGTACCCTTGAGAAGATTGCCCATCCTCACTATGCAGGTTGACTGTAGGCTCGGACTCTGCTGCAGAAAACGTCAGACAGAAGGCAGCGCATTATCAATGCAAGTGCGGCATTAAGTACATGTGCAGAGCACACGCACTGTTTCCTCCACGCGCCAGTGAGCCCAACCACTGGAACCCGATCGTGAGTCACCCTCAAAGCGAATTGGATTTCTTGTGAAGCGACGCGGCAAATCTGGAACACCTGAAAACCACGTAGGCGGCACCAAAGCAGAAAGCCAGGCGGCGCAGGAAACGAAGCACGGAAAGGCAGTCGCCAACAGCCGGCATGACCGAGGAGGGAGGAGGGAGAAGGAGGAGGAGGAGGAGGAGGAGCAGGAGGAGGAGGAGCAGGAGGAGCAGGAGGAGAAGTTAGAGGAGGTTGAGGAGGAGGAGGAGGAGGAGGAGCAGGAGGAGGAGGAGAAGGTGGAGACGGAAGCGCCATCTGCGGGGACTCACCCCCCCACGCCCGGGGAGGGGCCGCAGGGCCCCCACGGGCGGCGCTAGGCGCGGCGCCCGTCTGCTCGCCGTGGCGGCAGGCAGCGCTGCCCGGGGCCGTGGCGCCCGCGACGCCTGGCCTGCGGCAGGGGGAACTCTGCACCAGCCTGTCCCCTGCTGCGGGTCGGGCACCGCTTGAACTGCCTACGGAGACAGATCGGGCCCTTCGGGGCCTAGGCCTCACAACAGCGAGGCTTCCTTGAAGGCCTACCGCAGGTTGGCCTACGCCTCGCGGCGCGGCCGGCCTATCGCCATCCTCGACGTGATGCAGCTTGCGTGCCACCCAACGCCGTCCTAGGTCGACGCCAGCACCGACAGCATGCAGCCAACTGGCACTACGTACATCGTCATCGAGGTCCACGGGAATCACGAGCGGGACGAGAAGAAAGAGCTCGACGACAACATGGACGACTGGGACCAGCAGCAGCACCACCACCACAACTGCGATCAGCCCTACTACAACCACGACTGCGACCCAAGCAAAGAGCTGCGTAGCAGGCAGCAGGGCTTCGCCGACACCAACGCCGACGCCTACGCCGGCACCACCGCCGACGCCTATGTCGGCAGAGCACTACGACCAGGCCAAGGATGGGGAGGAGAAAGAGGAACTGGAGGAGGCCGGCGTCGAGGAGGCGTCGGAGGACCCCCAGGACTACTACCTGGGGTTGGTGGGGGACTCGGAGGACCTGGGGGACCTGGACCTGGCTGAGGCGGTGAAGCCCAGGAACCAGCTTAGGATAGGGGCCGGGAACCCACCCAGGACGAGGCCCAGGCCAGGGGTCGCCTTTCCGACAGACTGCGATCTCAGGGAGGCAGCTGCTGAGGCCGTGCGAGCCACCACAGCACGCAGCCACCTCCACTACTACCAGTGGAACCAGCAGCACCACCACGAATACGACCAGCAGTGCCAGCAGCGCCACCGAGACCACGGAGACAGTAGCGGGCCAGACGACGACGACGACGACGCAGAGTACGAGGGCGAGGACCTGGATGTGACGGCGGCGGCGGAGGATAGGATGGCGGCAGCGGCGGCGGCTGGGCAGGCGGCGTCGGCGGCAGCTCGGGCGGCGGTCGAGGGGGCGGCTGGGGTGGGGACTCGGCAATGTTCGCCTCAGCATCCAAGTCAGCACCGACACCCGCGCGGACTCCAGCACCCACGTCAGCATCGACACCAGTACTGCCCCTACCACCGACGACAGCACCGACGCCAGCCTCAACCCCAGCATCAGCGCCAGCACCGAACACCGAATCGACTCCAGCACCGGAGCCAGCATCTACGTCACCACCAACGCCAGCATCGACTCCAGCATCGACGCCAGCACCCACGCCCGCATCGACGCCCTCATCTCAAAAAGCCCTTACGACAGCATCGACGTCAGCATTGACACCAGCAGTAACGCCAACATCGAAACCCACACCGACGCCAGCATCAACTGCAGCGTTTGCCTCAGCATCGGCGCCAGCATCCGCACCGGCATTGAGGACAGAATGGACCCCAGCATCAGCACCAGCATCGACGCCAGCACCGACACAAGTACTACCCCCATCATCGTCAGCATCGGCGCCAGGAGCGACAACAGGATCGGCGCCAGCATCGACTACAGAATCGAAGATAACATCGACTCCAGCACCAGAGCCAGACTGCACGTCAGCGATACCAGAACTGACCCCCGCATCGAAGCCAGCAGCGACGCCAGCATCGACAACACCACTGATCCCAGGACTGCAGCCAGCATCGACTCCAGCACAGCCTGCATCGACGTATGCACTGACGCCAGCAGCGAATCCAGCATCGACGGCAGCACCGACGCCAGAATCGACCTCAGCATCGACGCGCGCATCGAGGACAGTATCGACTCGAGCACTGGAGCCCGCATCAACGCCAGCATCAACACGCACAGCATCCACCATCGACGGGCAGAGCCTGGATGTGACGGCGGCGGAGGAGGATTATGTGGCGGCGGCGCAAAGGCAGGCGGCGTCGGCACCGACTTGGGGGCGGCTGGGGTGGACTCGGCGTCGTCGAGGGCAGAGACGGCGGCGGCGGCGATGGCCCCAGCACCAGTGCCAGACTCGACGCCAGCACCGACGCCCGCTCCGCGGACAGCACCGCCCACATCAGCAACGACACCCGCGCGGACTCCAGCACCCACGTCAGCATCGACACCAGCGCCGCAACCACCACCAACGACAGCACCGACGCCAGCATCAACCCCAGCATCAGCGCCAGCTCCGAAGACGGCATTGACTCCAGCACCAGAGCCAGAATCGACGTCACCACCAACGCTAGCATCGACTCCAGCATCGACGCCAGCACACACGCCCGCATCGACCCCCGCAGCGCTGCCAGCACCGGCGCCAAAATCGACGTCATCACCGACGCCAGCAAAGCATCAAGCACCGACGCCAACAACGACGCCTGCAGGGACGTCAGCATCCGTGCCCGCATCGAGGCCCTCACCGACGACACCGCACCCTCAAGTATCAACGACAACATCGATGCCCACGACGACGCCAGCACTGACACCAGCACGCTCTCCAGCATCGACGCCGACATCGTCGCTAGCGACGCCAGTACCGACCTCAGCACCGGCACCAGCACGGCATCCAGAATCGGTGTCGACGCCCACGCCCGCTGCGATCCCAGCACAGTCAGTACAGATACCAGAACAACAACCAGCATCGTTGCCAGCAAGGACGCCTTCAGCAAAGCCAGCATCGACGCCTAGCGACGATTGCACTGACACCAGCATTGACGGAAGCACCAACGGCTCCCCGACCGCAGCTCCCGAATCTGGTCACCATGCTGGACCGACGAGCCACGTCGACGCCAGCATCGGCGTTAACATCGGCGCCACAATCGACTCCAGCGCCGACGCCAACCGCAACTCCTGCAACGACCCCAGCATCGCCGACAGCAGTACCGATACCAGCACAGCCACCAGCACCGACGCCAGCATCGATGCCTGCAGCGGTGCCAGCACCGACGACTGCTTCTTCAGCACCGATGCCAGCACGCACCGCGGCATCGACACCAACGATGACGCCTGCAACCGAGCCGCCAAGCACCTTCCCGACCAGCATAAGTCGGTCTGGCCTCGGAGCCCGTCCTGACGTTCAGCGGCGCATCATCCGAGTGTATGGGCCGGGTTTCCACTTCGACAATCACGCCCTGCGCTCGACCTTCAGCCTAGTCGGCCCTGTAAGGGTCTGTCACGTCGTCCTGGGACTGTCCGAGCGCATCCTGGATTACGGCTTCGTATGCCACGCCACCGAGAAGACCGCCAGCAGGGAATGCGATTACTTTCACACTCGCGGCATGCCCGTGTGCAACTCCTGGGTCCGGGCCTCTGCCTCCCACGACCAATACCACAACCAGCTGCTCCAGCACCAGTACCAGCAACGCGAGCACGACCAGCAGAACCACCATGACCAGCAGACCCGCCACGACCACGACAGCGCAACTAGCACAACTAGCAGGGACATGCAGCCCCACGGTCAGCAGCAGCAGCAGCAGCACCGTCCCCACCTTCACGAACACGACTCCGACCAGCACAACAACGCTCACGATCAGCAACACTACAGTGACGAACACGACGGCAACCGGCAACACCATAGTGACAAGCATGACGAAAAACAGTGACATCATCGTCACCAGCATGACGGAAACCAGCAGTACCACCCCTACCAGCATGACAGCAGCCAGCACCGCCCCTCTGACCAGCGCACGGACAGCCAGCAGCACCATCGTGATCAACACGACGGCCCACCAACCACCCCAGCATCAAGACCAGCACCGACGCCAGACTCGACGCCAGCATCGACGGCACATTCAACGTCATCGCCCAAACCTTCACCGACGCCAGCATCGACTACAGCCATGACCTCTGCTCTGGCGCCAGCATCGACAATGACCGAAGACAACATCGAACCCAGCGCTGCCGCTCACATCGACGTCCGCACCAGCGCCAGCATCGACTCTAGCATCGACGCCAGCGCAGACGCCAGCATCCACTCCAGATACTATTGAGAGCCCATACCAACAGCAAACCAGCGACCAGCTCCGCATCGCCAACACCGAGGCTGACGACAAGTCCGATGCCCAGCTCGCTCCCCAACCCGACGTCCAATTCGATGCCCAGGTCGACGCCACGTCCAACTTATCGTTCCACGCGCAACAGCGCCACCGGCTTTTGCCACGATTGGTTCTACCAACAGCATCGAGGACAGAATAACAGAACCCAGCAGCACCACTTTGAGACGGCAATACTGACGCCAGCACCGACCCTA